CTTTCCCTTAGAGAAATTCAAGAGTCGTAGAAGGTAAAAGTCTTGGAAGGTAAAGCACCTCAATGGAAGGTCGTAGAACTGAACCAAGGCAGAAATAGCATCCAATTGTACATCCACTTTTGTCAACTCAAGAGTATCCCAAATACGGAGAGTAAACATCTCTAAAGCTCTTTCTTATAGTTTCTCTTTGATAGTCTTGATCTTCTTCATATCTGGTTTGACGACATTAATACAGACATGTTGTTTCACTCTGGAATTCATTTTCAAGACACTTCACCAAAAACCTTCGATTATTATTTTTAATCCTATGAATAAGGCAGACAAAAAGAATGGAAAATGATGAATATGTGAGATGAAAAATGTATGAGTGCATGAATGTGTGGCTTGTGACAGGATTTAGTGAAAGGTATCCTTAGTTGGTAGGCTCCTAGTTTTGGCCTACATATATTCTACTCTCCGCACAAGGTGGTTTCTTTAAGGGTATCATGGATAACACTAGAGAGAAAGGCACAAGGGCCTCCCTTAAGTAGATCCTCTTTGCAGACCGAAACTTTCGACTCTAAGCCATGAAAGGTCTTACCATGAGACCTTGGTTTAAGAGTTATACAAAGAGTCATAGATTTAGTTCCAAAGTCTACCATGTGTCACGTGGTTATTGGATCTTGATGGTTCCTTTAAAAATGTCAAAAACAATAGAATTATCATTAATTATTGAAAAAAATGGATACAGGTGAAGCGTACGTCCCCTGTATATACCTTTTTATTTTTTTTCATTTTATTAATATTTGTATGCCTAAATATGTTATTATAATGACATAATTTAGTTATTTATTTAGATTATGCTGTTAGAGTTTTTTTGAATTACTTTTGGACCTTTAGGTACTAATTATCATTTGAATTATTTAGATTAGTTTATATTTGACATTTATCTAATTAGATTATTTTAGGTTAATTTATCTAATCGTTGAAAAATACAAAAAGAATATGAAAAAACACAAAAACATGTTCATTATTCTTTTCATTCCTATTAGAATAATATCAAATATATATCTTATTTCTTTAGTTATTAACATAAACTTGTAAATAATTCATCATTAAATAACTTGTACATGTCACTAACTAAAAATAAAAAGACAAAAAACATTCTCACATTTAAAATCCATTCAAACTCAACTCTCCTTCTTCAATCCACCAAAATCAAACTTAAAACATCTTACCAACAAGAAAACCTTTTATTCCACTAACATAATCAAAATCAAGATTTTTTCAATAAAGAATCATCCTGTTACTTTCTTCTTGGATACAAAAAACTTCACCTACCATCACCCAATTTTCAAACTCAGGCAAGTTCAAAACTATTCGAAAGCAACTTAATATAATTCTATAAAAAATACTAACCAAACACTTCGAACTACAAATGACCCTGGTTTCTTCTTAAGAAGATGCGTAGGCACACGGTTGAAAAACCAAGGTGAGTCTACTAACTTAAAAAAACCATATTTTTCTCTGTTTCTTTCCTTACATGATAATATGATAACAAATAAAGAAATATCTCTAATAAGTCCTAGGTTTAAAAAGGATCCCCTTGAGTACAAGAGAGATAAAGGGTGCCTAACACATTCCTTTTATCTAATTAACTCGCGAATCCAATAATCTTTAAGCAACTAGGGTTTTCCCATTCCTTTCTCGTCCTTAGGACAAATAAGTAGTGAAGGGGACTCTTTTTTTTTGCCGGTTACGACACAGACACCATCTCAAAACCTCTTAATATTTCTTTCATAGATCAAAAATTCGACCATGAGGCTTCTCCCATCAATAATGTATTATCATCAAATTGTAGTAAGTTATAAGATGCTTGATCATGCATCTGGAATCCGTTAAACAAACCTTCCTTGGTTGCAGATCTGACTAGGCCAGCAAGACTTTCAACAACTATTGAGAATAGAAAAGAGGATAGTGGATCCTCTTTTCTAAGTACTCTATTCACCTTGAAATCTTTGGAAGGACTTCCATTTACCAGTATTATCATGCTGCTATCAAACACCCATGCCTTCATCCAGTTTATCCACTTGGAACCAAAACCAAGTCTCGTCATTATAAAGTCCCAAGAGGCCTAGCTTACATAATCATATGCCTTAGAAAAATCTACCTTGAGCAAAAGACACACCCTCATTTCCGTTTTAGCTAGGTCAAGAATCTCATTAATTACAAGGGCCTCATCCAGAATTTTCTACCATGTATGAAGGTTGTTTTGGTTAAAGAGATTACATTACCTATGACTTTCCTCAATCTTAAGGCTGGGATTTTTAAAATTAGCTTATACATACAACCAACAAGATATATTGGTTTGTACTCCTCCAAACTTTGTGGGCTCAAGTTTTTGGGGATCAAGGCAATATAAGAGTTTGTCATCATGACTTTTGGAAGCTTGACACTCTTGTGAAATTCCTTAATAAAACACACAACATCTTCTTCTAAAATAGGCCAACATTTCTTTAGAAATGTAAAATTAAAACCACCGAGTACGGGGCTCTGATCTCTTTCACTCTCCCAAATAACACTTTTGATCTCCTCCTTAGAAAAATCTTCTTCAAGTCTAAAACTCTCTATCTTAGTAAGTTGATTGAAACCCACTCCTTCTAACACTGGTCTAGACATACTGGGTTCCATAAATTTCTCTTCAAAAAACCTTTCCACCCCACTCTTAATTTCTTCAACTCCCCCCACTTTTCCCTCATTGGTTGATGTTGATAGGATTGCATTTCTTCTATTTTTATCTTTCATTATTGAGTGAAAGAATTTTGTGTTGAGGCCCCCCTTTGTGATCCACATTTGTCTTGACTTTTGTCTAACCAAACTCTCCTTTAATTTGATGTTATTGATCTCTTCCTCTAAAGCTCTTCTCCTCCTGACCCTTATATGATTTAATGTTTCCCTTGTATTTAAGTATCAAATAAAGTGCAGTGAATCATACAAAAAAAGGAAAAAAATTTACCCCATACTCCAACAATTATTCCCCTACCCCTACAATTCATACAATTTGACTAAATACTCCTAAATAAATAGTTTATGTTTGAAAAAAAATACATTCAGGATAACTTGACAAAATATCCTTTTTGGTCCCTTAACTGTACAATTGAGTTCATATGAGTTCTTTAATTTGTTTTGTGTCATCTTGATCCTTTAAAAAGTTAAAGGACCAAGGTGACACGAAAGAAATTAAGAGACCAATCTGAACCCAAGGGTATAGTTAAAGGATCAAATAAAATATTTTGTCTGATAATTTTTGAGTAAGTTATTTGGTGAGTCTAAAACAAAATGAGTTTATGTAACATAAGAAAACTGTGGCCTAAATTGAATAACCCCATTTTTTCCCCTTTTTTTAAAACACATATTTTTTTCTTAAGAAATTTTTATACTTTTTGGTCAAAACTATGACATTAGTATTTTATTTTATTTTCCTTTTTTTTAAAACACATATTTTACATCTCTTATTTTTTAAAAATAAAAATATATTTTGCATCAATAACAAAAAAAAAGCAAAAGCACATGTTGTTGCTAATATTTTTTTTGTAAAAAAAACAATAATTATTAACATAACTTGTTGCTATTATCTTTCCGCTAATTTACAACCATAGTGCGACTGTTGTCAAAGGCAAGTCGTTAATTATGTGTGAGTGTGGAAAATTTATAACTACTAATTTATTAATTTGACGAAAAACATGTACTAATAGAAGTAAAGTGAATTTGAAGAGTAATTATCATAAACACAATGAACAAAGAAGAGTGGTTGTTGTGATGTTGATGAGATTAGAGGAGATGATGAATGGAAAAGACAAATATAATTAAGAAAAGAAAAAGAGGAGACAATGTGTACATCCTATGTACTGGATGCACTTTTTTAGGGTTAGATATTTAGGTAGTGAAATAATATTATACAATAAAATATAAAAAATTAAAATTTTTATTTTCTAATACATTAATATTTTTGTATGTAAAATTATATAATATATAAAAGATGAAAGTTAAATAATTAGGTCGGAGTTGAGGAATCCACGGAACGGATGGTACTTTCCCAATCTCCGTCCTAAAATGTCATCGGAGGAACTTTTGCCTCCATTCTCATCCCCGCCGGAAAAAAAAATTTTCAACTTCGGTACTCCAAACAATAATCCTCTCAGAGACGCCCATTAACATATACAAATTGACATCCCCATGTGAAAGTAGTATTAATTAAAAGGTAGAAGTAGAAAAACTATTTAATATTACATTGAAAATTGAAATAAATCATTTATTTTAAAATAATTTATTATTTCAAAAGAATCACTCATTATGAAATAGATGGAGTAACATTTAGCCCAAAAATTATGAAAAAAATTAAACCATTGAAAAAATTTAATTAAATTATCCGATGACAAATTTGAAAACTATCAAAAAATTTATAATAAAGTTATTCGGTGAAGATAAATTATATATCAGATCTTTTATGTAAAAAATTTCGATAAATTAATATAAGGGTACACAATTTTTCTATTTAAAAAGAAAGTTAGAATCAATTTTGAAAAAAAAAAAAGAAAGAAAGAAAGTATAATTGAGATATTTTCATAAAGTGATAATAGTGAGGGTATGGGATAAATTTAAATAAAAAAATGAACTTGGTTTTGTGAATCCTCGTTCAAAGAGAACATTTACACCATTCAAAAGTTCTGACAAATATTTAATTTGTTGTTTCTATTGACTTGTGGTGGGTACTTGTGATTTTGTATTGGGATATGGATTATATATTTTTAAATACAAATAAAAGTTGTACAAATACAATTGATTCGATACATCAACTTTTCTTTGTATTGGATACCGTGGCCGTATGTGATCTTCCATTAAAAACAACATTAATAAATTTGGTTCGATACAATTGATGAAAAATATAAATCAAACACATTATAAATAAGCACCTCTACTCTGGTTAGTTCATAGTTAAGAAATATTGGTGTTGTAGAATAATGGCAAACGAGGTTGTTGTTTTGGATAAATGGGCTAGCATGTATGGGATGAGAGTTAGGATTGCATTAGCTGAAAAAGGTATTAGCTATGAATCCAAAGAAGAAGATTTTAATAATAAGAGTGATTTGCTTCTTCAATCTAACCCTATTCACAAGAAGATTCCAGTTCTTATCCATAATGGTAAATCCATTTCTGAATCTGGAATTATTGTCCAGTACATTGATGAGGTTTGGAATCACAAAAATCCATTATTTTCCTCTGACCCTTATGAGAGAGCTCAAGCCAGATTTTGGGTTGATTATATTGACAAAAAGGTAACTTTTTTTTTTTTGTTTTTCTTTTAAATATTTTCAATAAAAATATACTCATTATTATCTTGAATTAATATAGGTTTTTGCTACTTGGATGAAAGTGTGGCTTTCAAAAGGTGAAGAATATGAGGAAGCTAAGAAGGAGTTGATCTCTATCTTTAAGACACTAGAGGAGACATTAGGTGACAAGAGTTTTTATGGTGGTGAGACTTTTGGATATCTTGATATTGGTTTGATCCCTTTTTATAGCTGGTTTTATACTTTTGAGACATATGGTAACTTCAAATTTGAAGTGGAGACTCCTAAACTTGTGGCTTGGGGAAAGAGATGCATTGAGAAAGAAAGTGTTTCAAAATCACTTCCTGATGAGAACAAGATATATGAATATGTTGTGGCTGGCAAGAAAGCACTTGGGTATGATGATTAGAGATTTTGGTGAATCAAATTTATAATGTTTGCATGTTAAGTTATGATATTGGTGTAGTAAGGTCTTGTGTTTGGTAGTGTTTTGATTACTTTGTTATGGTTTGCTAGATAATTCATGAGTGTGTCAACATGAATGGATGTTATTGTGGTTGTTTGATGTTGCACATTTTTATGATCAAAATAAATAGTCATTCTATTTTAGCATATTAATGTTTTCTTCAATTTAATATATAATAACACCAAAACATCTATGGTGTTATTGAATGACTCAACCACACACTAAAACATTCTCATTAAATACATTCTCAGGACATATTCATAATCAATAAAAAATTTTAAAATTCATTTAATAATTAATATATTTGATATAAAATAATAATTAAATATATTATTTATTTAATGAATCTAAAAAAAATCGTTGCTTATAAATTATGTCCGAAGATATACAATAACCTTAGTTTTATTGAGATTAAAAATTTGTGGAGCAAATAAAAGTGACAAGTAAATAAAAAGTGGAGCGTGCCCCACACTTTCACGTGTATCGTATCCATAAACCAAAAATTAGTGTCTCACTTCCACCGACCAAAAACTTGTTACCCTTATCCATAAACCAAGCATTAATGTCTCACCCCATAAATATAGATGGTTATCTCTTATTTGAATGAAGATCCACATCATTTATTTAATGAGGACTCCAAATATGATATAAATTTTATTTTTATATCATTTTATTATTTTTATTTTTCCTTCACTTTATGCTCCTTGTTTCTCTTTTAGTCTCTCTTTCGCCGACCTCCTATTTTTCTTTCTTTGTCTGATATTGACGTTCAATCTAAATACTCTAGTCTAGTGTAGATGTTCTTCTTTTTCTTTTATTTCAAAGGCTTCCATAAACTTGTAATATATTCAAATTTTTATATTTTTTATTTTTTTTATATTATTCTTTATCTTTACCTAGTATGCATGTTTGTTTTGAATAGTTTGATGAATCGTTTAATACCAATATCATGTGTTTAACAAATTATTTTTGACCTAAATTATTTTAAAATTTTAGCTAGAGTTTGTGTTTAAAATCAAACATTTATGTTTTAATGTTGACCTAATATCTTTGCATATTATAATTTTGACCTGAGATTTGTGTTTTACTGTTTGATTATTAATAATAATAATAAAGGATAAGGCTAGGGTTTTGAATAATTGCTTGTCTTCTTCTGTTCTTAATAAATTTTAAGGGTCTATGTTGCTGAGTTTTGTTTTAATTTCATAAAAAAAAATATTGTTTGATTGATTGTGTTTTGTTCCATGTCTTTTCAAGATTCTTCATTGACTCCTCCAACCATGGATGATCTATTTGATATTAATATATTACTTGCTGACATTGAGGAAAAGGAGACAACGAATGAAGGTTATTTAGAGATTGATGAGATGATTAATTTGGAGCTTCCAGTTTAAAATACCTCCACTGATAATACTACCACTCAAAATATCCCCATTGATAATACTACCACTGAAAATACCCTCATTGAAAATACCACCAATACTGATGGATCAACCTCTCCAATTGACCAAGATCTGAGTTCTCAGATAAATGCTTTTGGTAAAGCTCCTCGTCCCAAAAAATATGTTGTTCATACTGAAATGGTGCTTATTGAAGACCTGATGGTAAGAAGTAGAAGTGTAGATGGTGTGGTAAGCTTTACACATACGATACGAAGTGGAAAAGTACATCTAATGGCAAGAAATATTTAGCTGTTTGTATTCAGAGAAAGTTGAGGTTGAAAGGTAATAATGACAAAGAGGTTGCACAATCTAGGTTAAACATAGGTGATAGTACTCCAAGTTTGGCAACCTGGACATATAATCATGCTAGATTTAGAGAACTTGCAGCACACGTGATTCTAGGTCATGAATTTTCTTTTTCTGTTATGGAAGGTGTTATTTTTAATGAGTTTCTTAGGGAGATTTATCCATGGTACAAAAAGATTACTAGGCAACATGTTAAGTTTGATTGTGAGACATTTTATGAGGCTGAGAGAGTTAAGATGAAAAGGTTTGTGGCTTTGATTAACAGGGTCAGTCTTGCCAATGACTTGTGGTGGTATAGTGAACATATGATAGGTTATATGAAATTTGTTTGATCTGCTTCACTATAATATGATGCATATGATGAAATCTGTTTGATCTGCTTGATTATTAACTGATACAAATGATGAATTCTGTATGATATTAATGATTATCTGAGACCTTTGGTGAAATCTGTTTGAAATGCTTCATTATTATTTGATGCAAAATGCTCATGATGAATTTTGTATGATATGAACGATTATCTAAGGCATAATCTGAATTGTGAGTTATGACTTAATACTGTCTATTGATTCAATTAAGTTGACTAGTTAGTTGTGATTTGATAGTTCCTATGATAAATTATATTTGATCTATTTCATTTGACATCAATTATCTGAGGCATGTTTGAAGGGGTAGGAAAACACTTAGAAGGGGGGGGGGGGATTGAATAAGTGACTCTTTTCGTTTTCAATACAAAGCTCAAATGATAATGGAATAACACAGTTATTTTTATCCTGGTTCGTTTGAACTCAAACTACTCCAGTCCACCCGCCAAGGTGATTTCGCCTTTCTCAACAAGGACTTAATCCATTATAATCAACTGATTACAATCACACAACAACTGTTGTGACTAACAATGCACAAGTAATCTTACAAGTGACTAACACCACTAAGACTTAAATCTAGTCCCAGTCTGCTTGAGAAATCTGACCAAACTTGGCCTCTCAAGGAACAAATACAGGAGTATAATCTTTACAGATAATTGAAATAGAGTTTGCTTCTAATCAAGCAATATCACAACTGTGATTTTTCACTTAGAATATAATACACAAATTGTATGAACTATGAGATTTTGAGCTTTTGAATTTTTCACGTAGTTTCTTGTATGAACGTTGTTGTTGGCTTGCAATAAATGTCCTTCTACTTATAGTAGGAATAATAAGACCGTTGCTACCTTCAGAGGAAATGAAGAGCATTAAATGCTTTGCGTGTATTCTTGCAATATTCCATTTTCCAAGAAACTAGTTGTAGGCACTTGAGTGCTTTCAGCCGTCTTTGCATTAATTAGAAAACGTCGGAATGTAAGAACGTGTTTCCTTTGCTTTGACAAGACAAGTTGATTTAGACGTTGTTTCAAAATTTGCTTCCAAATGTCTTTAAGTCAGAACACGCTTCATTCAACTTCTGGGCAGAGCGTTGTTTGCTTAAGAACTTTCAACAGCGCTTGCTTTCAAGTTATCTTCTGAATCAAGGAGCCTGCTGGAAGTTAGAAGATACATTTAACAAGTAAATGTTCTTACCAGAGTCAGCAGATGCGTTTGAATAAAAGGTTCTTTAATCAAAGAACTTCTTCATAATCTTTGCTTAGTACTTTAGAATCTTTTCTGTCAGAACATTAACTAAGACATTCAAAACACATTCATCAGAGCATAAATTATCTTAAATATAATTTAGTTATCATCAAAACTCTTGAGATAGGTCAGAACTACTCTTGTTCTGTCAATCTCCCTCTTTTTGATGATGACAAAAAAATATTTTAGATAAAGAAAAGAAACGGATTAAGAGATAAGAATCTCCCCCTGAAATGAATATTTCTATGCATAAGACATCCTGAGATTATTTAGTCAGATTAATACACAGCCTTCTTGAATTTCTTCAGAACTTCTTCAAGAAGATAAATCTTAGCTGGAATATTCTTTTAGAGTTAAAATGATACCTGCAAAAAAAATCTTTTGCACAGAAGGAATTCTTGCAAATTTGTTAGAATGTCTGAGACATAGTCCTATAACTGTTAAACAGTGATTAGTTCAAAAATACACATTTTCTCCCCCTTTTTGGCATAATCAAAAAGTGTAATAAATGAGAAATTTTGAAAGATTTCATAAAAAAGTTAAAAATAGATATCCAGAAGCACAAAAAAAACATCCAAATAAGAGGCAAAAAGAACTAGGATTTCTTAGAGACAAGAGACATCAGAAGATTCTTGATTTCAGAGGCAGATTCACTTTGCATTGCCATCTAGTTCTTGAACTATAGATTTGTTTGATCTTGCTTATCCATACGTTTATTCAAGACTTCATTCTCCATCTTTAGCTCTTTCAGAGTGTCCATAATGAGTGAGGTAGGAGCAGAAGATGATGAAGCTTCAGTAGAAACAGGGTCAGAAGCAGCAACTGATGAGTCATACTTCACAAAGGTGGAGAGCAGAGTGCCCAGATCCATTGCAAGAGTTGGCACAGGTTCAGGTCCAGCCTTAACTGAAGGTTGATTCAATAGAACAATAGCCAGAGGATTTGAATCTTCAGAGGATTCTTCAGATTCATCTTCTGATATGTCCATCTTATCAACTGGTGTATCAACAATCATTAGCGAAGACTTCTTATTCCAAGTGTCGGCAGCTTCCGTCTTGAAAGCATGCAGAAGTTTGGAAAAGTTGTCCAGCACCTGAGAATGGCACAAATCCTGTAACTTCCGTGATTCAGCAACCAATGTTCTTCTGAAGGTTTCCCATAGAAGATCTGTTGCTACTGTGTTCACACTTCTGAGGCAATCTTCTTTCAGCGGTTGTAACCATGCTTGAACATTTGTTATAAAATTCTGAAACAAAGTATCTACATCTGGTTGAACGGGTTTAGGGACAGCCGTTCTGTAGGTCTTGTTTTTCAAGAATTGTAGAGATTGAAAGTCCACTACAGTTCTTAAAAAGCTATTGGGTTCAAGATTATTTGTAGGTTCAAGTTCAGGTTGGTTAACACAAATAGAAGGTTCTGATATATCATGAGGTACGGATGGTTCAGCAATTTCAGTTTGTTCAAAAATTTGTTGTTCTGGAATTTGAGGAGTTGAGAGTGGTGAAGTATGTTGTGGTGAAGTGGGTGGAGTGACATCAGGCGAAATTATTATTGTATAAGCAGGAGTGGGAATAGGATTTTGAGG